TTAGCTTCGTTACTCTTTTTTCATGCATTTGTCAACGTGACCAATCCACCAATGCTTTACTTTCTTAATCCTGGTCACAAGATGCAAACCACACTTTTCTCTTATAACAATATACATATTGAGAATAGCTCAGCCTGCATATTCAACTTGGGTTTACTTTTAAGATTTTAAACCCTGCATTATTTATTACTTCATAATCATTCATTAGCATGAAAACTCATGACAAGTCATTGCTTAATTAGTTCGTTCCCGAGATTACCACAAAACACGCCCCTTAACCACCTACTTACACACATCCCTTCTCTCTTCCCGTAGGGTTCTGTCATTAAAATGTATGTGCGATTCAATTAAGAATAGTAAACCAGTGAGATAGGGCGAGAGAAATCGATTTTTTTGAAATCATATTTATTGACAAATAATACAAAGGAACCATGAAAGAAAACGTTTTAATCGGAATGACTGAGTAGTCATCATCATTATTGTCACAGCTGCTTTCCCCTATAAATATAGAACATGTGTTTATATAGGTATCATAATATTCCACGAATTATTATTTTAAAGAAAAATAGGCATTTTATTAAAAGTAAAAAAAAAAGGTTTTGTATTATTTTTAAAACTAATTATGAATTCAATAGATTTGGTAATATTAAGACTCAGTTAAATAAATAAAAAAGTGGAAGATTAATTTTCTCTGCAAGCTGTACTTCTCAACTGATAACAGATCACCGTCATTCAAGGTCATGGTCGTTCCTATTCTTATTGGAACCGCATTGTGTTAATTGATAAATGTTTAAATAGTTAATGGGGGTAAATAAAGTTCGTGCCGTACGTTTGCGGAATCCATCGTTTTTATCATCTCGTGGGCGTCATAAGAGTCGACCATGGAAATTGCCAGGAAGATATGGCTTCTGATAGATGGCGGTACAATCACGTCATTGATGTCAGACAAAATACCCAGGCCGGAGACGAGGAGCAGAGTTAAAGGTACAAAAAAATTTATAAAGGATATTCAAAAATATACAGGATATTCAATTCGATCGTTAATTCATTTTACGCGACATTTCGTTGTGTTATTAGGGCATTTACACCTCACGTTCACTTTAGAGGATTATACAGGCGGCGTTTATATTCCATACTAAAGTATTATTCCGTTTTATCTTTATTCTCGATGGATAACAACATTAGAACAAATTATTTTGCGATGCAATCTATATATATACCACTACGTTGTTCTTTTTTGTTTTTTTTTTTTCTAAAAAAAACTTAAAATTAAAAAAACCGCGCAGTTAAACCGCCGTTCTAAATATCCCTTAAACAAATTTTACTGGATTAAAAATAAAAACTTTTCTTAAAAAAGAATCGGTTCAGTTTTATAAGAGGAAATCTTTGAATATGGGTTGATGATTTCGTAAATTTTTATTCACTTCGAGCTGCAGCTGTCTCTTTCAGTTGCCTAACTTGGTCGTTCGGTCACAGCGCGATAGAAATATATTGTTAAAAAATATTCTTCAAACTTCTTGCAGCCCAGATATATAGATATATAGGTATCCTTAAGGGTTTCTTCTAAAAATTAACCAATCCATCGCGAAGAAGAATTTAACAGTCTCTTAATTCGGGTCTATAATGATTCGATACACATTTCTTAACAGCGACTTCAGAAGCTATTAAATGATGTGAAATACTGAAATGCAAAACGAGATAACATTCCACATGATAGTAAATGTCTACCTTAGCTCACAAAGGACAAAGGCTACAGAAAATATTGAGAACCCACTTGAAAGGCCTTAAAAGATTTTTTTACGGCAGCGGAGGGAAATGAGCATACGGCGTAAGTTAAAAAACTTTGTTTAAGTTTAAGGTCATCATTGGCGTATGCTACTTATTGTGATACGTTACTGAGATACATTTTTCCAAAGATCATCATCATCGTCATTCATTCCAAATAATTTGGACACCAGTATTCGCTTTTAAGAAGCTTCTGCTTTGAAAACCATGCCATGTGAGATGGGATATGAGATGAGAGCTTATAAACAAGGTCGATGCTCAACTAGAGTAACATAGTAGAACATATCTACGCGCTTTGCGCTTAAGGCATGCAATATATGTACGGAGGGGCACACTGAAATGATCGCGAATAGAATATTTCGGATTGAGTTACAATAAAACCTTTTTTAGAATTTGAATACTGGCCTCTTAGAATCTTAATGACATTCAAACAATTTAAAAAAATGTTTAAAAACAAAAACTATGTTGGTTTAAAGTTGACACGTCGTTAACAGAAATGGAGCTCACGCGTGAACATTTCCGTGCTATAATTTATCAAGTGAAAAGTGCATTAAGTTGAACGTAGAATATTTCGAAAAACAATAAAATACAATTTAGCTATACCGTGTATGTGGTTTTTCTTATTCCCGATCATTTCAGTGTGCCCCTCGTAAGTACATAACATTCAACATGCAAAATATTCAGTGCCAAAGACAAATCGGTAAAGCTCGTTCTTCTTATTTAGCCTTTTTATAAATCTACTGCGAGTTATAGGCCTCTACCGTGCCGTGGTAGGAAAGATTTGTTGTTTTTACCACTAGTTAATACACTAATGTATTATTATGTATGTTGTGTGGACACCCACATGTTCACCCACGCATGTCATAAATAGGACAGCAAACAATTCGCGACTGTGACGCTGCAGCCCTGATCAAATTGGCCAGGATATACATAGAGCTGATAATAATAAGGCAAAAATCGTTAGAAATTTCTAATTATGGTTTTTACTACGTATGTTGTGGTAAAGGAATGCATCTTGATAATATTTTTCCAAGTCTCATAAGCGAGAGATCTACTCATCAGCGAAATGCACAATAGCTTACATTGTGAGAATCCCGCCCGCAGTCCCTTTTTGCATGTTATGTTATCAAGAAAGGTCTGAACACAAACAAGAAGGGCGGCACGCTGTATGTCTTCTGTTAAAACTCAGTTACCGAGTATGAAGAATTTCGTATAACCCCTTGTGTGGCGACCGGCCAGATTCTGGCCGATGGTTAATTACGCGCGTCTGGCAAGCGACCAGATTCTGGCCGATCCGCGACTGCGTATTTGGCGGGTAAAATAACCAGCGACAATGATTTTTATCACACTTTTACTTATAGAAAATTATAAACCAAAGAAAGAGGATGCGATACAAAGCTACTAAAGTACTACAATGTGTAGAAATTTCGAATAAACAGCCTATGTAGCAGTCGCATGCGAACGTCACTTTCATGTGGTCACCCGTCCCGGTTTTTGTCCTTATTTTTATTCCTAAATCGAACAAATAGTGAAGTTAAGTGCTATTCAAACATAGAAGGGTTAATAACCAACAGTTTTTAATTCATAATTTAGGGATATGTATCCTTTTTATAAAAAAAATTCGAACATAAACGGTCGTTATACTTACTTACCTTACATTTATCTCTATTGTTGATTAAAAATACATTACATTCTTTTTAGAAATGAAACTTTGTCTAAATTAAGGACTTGAGCCATACTTAATGTTAAAATTATCGTACGCCACTTGACTTGCTCATTTCTCAAAATAAAACTAACAATATATGCTATTTTTTGTGCGACGCTTGGGTTGCCGTTCATGTGTTAAGATTGTAAAAAACTTTTGAGGTAAAAATATATAGGAATGTGTGGTTTTTTTGCTTTTTTATTATAAATTAGTGTATATTGATGAAAATAAATTACATTTATTTTATAAAAGAATGATTTTTATGTTTAATTTTCACAAATTATGCGCAAAATACTATTAAAAATTTGGTTTTCCAACTTTGAAATTGGCTTAATAAAATCTATTAAGTTGTATTCAACTAAGATATCTACAGAGTAATAGCAAATAATATAACAATTCATATGACATAAGTTTTATAAATAGCTTCCATACAATATTTTAGAGAAATTACTAATTTAATCGCCACGCGCCGATATCGCAAAATTACCTGCTAAGGCCCTAGCAGACGCGACGTATTTGCAAAATGGCCGGCCGGCAGACGAGGGGATAATGACCCGGCATTACATGTCTCTGTTGCCTGTGAATAAATACAATATCGTCGCGCTCGCTCATAAGCGTTGGCCGCTATTAGATACTGTAAACCTTTTAGCCGTAACAATAAGGCTTGTTCTTGTGTAAGTGTACTTTGGTTTGTTTTGGCATGATTTATTTTAAACTAAACTTTTAACTACATTAGTAAGCACGGAGTAAGTCCGTGGTTACAGCGCTGTGAGTACGGGCAAATCTTTTAAGTTATGCTCACGATTTGGTACATTCTGGAAAATGCCTTTATCCAACAATAGATGGGCTTTACATCAATGGATAAAAGGACATAAGATGTTCGCAAACACTATTTTACTTATGAACCTTTAACCAAGTAACAAATCCTAAAACCAACGACATTAGTAAGAACAAAGTAATTCCGTGCTTAATCGTGAGTATGGGCAAATCTTGTATAGTCTGTTCGCTTAGATACGATCGCCTTTATGTCGCGCCGCCTTGGCACGTGCGGTATTTTGTCAAAGCCGCCGCCGTGTATTTTGCCGCGACATCAAGGGTTGCTGTGTGCGGCGTACACCCGCAGGATAATTTGGCATTTTAAAACGAAGAAGTGAAAGGTTCTTTGCTACCTTATTTGTGTTTATTATTTATATTCGTATATTATTACAGTAACTATAAGAATAAAATAATATTCTATTTTATTCGTAGTGAATAAAAACATTTTAATAAATTTCTTATATATATATATAAACACAATTTAAAATAATAAAATAAAAGCAAAATAATAAATGCACCTCCGGGTGTACCGACACAATTTTAGTGAACGGACTATAAGTTATGCACATTCTTGAATAACGTATATCCAGCAATGGATGGGCTTTACATCAAATGGACGAAGGAAGATAGGTTGTTCACTAACACTTATACTTTTGAACCTTTAACCATGTGACAAAATCTATTACTTCTGCAGGATTGGGCGGAGTTTAACGCAGCGACCTCGACCATAGACTCACTGCGTCCGGGAGTACGGTCGCCGATAGCTTCGCCGCGACATTCTCCGCGTGCGGTGAGACGCGTTGCCACTACCGCGGAGAACGCTTACGGGGAATTACGCGCCCCACCGTTACCGCCTAGAAAAAGTCTATCACCCGCAGAACCCACCATTGCAGCAGCGTCCAGTGTACAGGATATCGCAGCTGCGTCAGCATTAGGTATTTTATGATATAATTATCTATAAGTGGTTTCACTCTGTATCACTGTTATTCATGTTTTAGACAAGATTTTCATTATGCTTAATGATTTAAAATGTAATGTTCTAATTTGTGTGTACAGTGATTATGTTCTCGTTGATCGTCTCGACAGTTCTCCTGGACAATTTTGAATCTGGTTACAACCCCTATCTCACTAGTTTCGAACACAGGCACAAAGTAGCCAAACTTTCGGATTTCTACAGGATACATTTCTGAGAGTGTGCGCAGGTATTGCATAATTTCATTCCACTTTCTCCCTCCCACCATCCGACAACTAGACTCAGCCAGTCTCTACCCCATCGTTGTCGACTTATCACGCATTCGAACTAAACGGTTTGCTTCATCCTTTGTCATGCATACAGCAATGAAGTTGCCAGCATCTTCCTTTTCATTCGATTACAATGTTGTGTCTTCATGTCAAAAGTGTGTTGACCTTTGTTAAGCCACCACTTAACATCAAGTAGGATAATAATCATAGAATAACTACTATAATAATACACAATAGAATGGCTGTCAACTTTATTTTGTACGAGGATAGGCGTCGCCGGGAGCACACATACAAGCAATTACGTCGTATTTTCAGTTAATCACTACTACAAACCCGATTCGTTGTGTTGACAGAGAGAGATTTTAATACATATTTATTTGTAAATCGCGTGCAATTGGGCATTTCTAAATAATTTGCATGCGAAATTTGGAAACGATTGTAACGTCAAAACACATCTCGTGTTGACATTTATACGTGTAAATTTACTAACGTGTTCGTGGCATTTTAGTGGCTACACGGGCTCCGCCCACTCCCCCGTTCTATTATGTATGTATTATAGTATTCTATGGTAGTAATCAAACACTGGCTTAGAATAGTTAAAAAAAAGCAACATATTGCACTGGAGATATTACGCGTAACCCACGCGGGTCCGATTAAGGTCTGTAACAATATGGGCAGTTTTTAATCTCTACTAGGCCAACAACAATTTTTATTCAGGAGCAAAGATGTTAAACGAACACAGTCAATCTGATGATAAGTGGATGGTGTAGCCAAAGATGCCTACCTATTTCTAAGAATCAAAATGCAAAAGCTATCACTTCTAAAGATTAAAATAGAATTCTTCTTTACAATGATCATACGAAAATCATTAGAAATATTGTGCTATTTTACGTTGGTGTTCTGTGAAAGCGAGAGCGTGTTTCAGCCCCAATATAAAGAGTAATTCTACCATGTCTGTATTAAAAAAAGAACCTCATAGATTTCAGTAGCCAGTGATGGTGGAGGGGAGGAGAAGCGCGGAAGTAATTTTTTTAAATTAATTTTTTATTTGAAAGAATATTAACAACGCTATAAACATTACTGATATTCCCCTTAACCACTCGTGGTAAGCTTAAATTGCTTTTGTTACGAGTGGTTCACGCCAATAGTCGAATGGCGGATTCGAACCCACGACCTTTTCGAGTTCGCGGTCCGTACCCTGCCATTAGGCTACTGTCGCTTTAATTTTTTTTAAATTAACGAGTGTAACCCCTGTTTACCTACTCAAAAATTCAAAAATTATTTAACTTTTATTTGTATGTTATATGCAGAGCCCAGACGAAGATCGTCTTTAGAACCGGAGCCCGATTCGCGGCATCGTTTGACTTCAGTCATCACTGGCTCAACGGAGACAATCACTGGACTCATAGACACTAGACCCGAGGTAATTTATTAGGCTCTAAAAATTTGGAGATAATAGCGTTCATCAATAGTTTTGCACAGCATTTGTGAAGTACATGGTTTAGCAGTGCGCTACAATTTCTAATACAAATTTAAAAAAGTCCTCCAGATCGAATGTTGGTCGCGGCCATTCCATGGACGTCGTAAGAGGCGACAGAGGAATATGAAGCAGGAGGTAGACTGCCGCATCTTTCTATTAACAACTTTACAGATCCGTAGATAGTAAACGCAAGCCAACCCATTGCTAGTCCGTTGGCTGTTTTTATCATCAGCCAGCCCGTAACCAGTACACTGCTAGAAAAATGGTCTCTTCTGCATTATTAATCATAGCACCAGATTGAATCATCTATCAAACATTCCTCTCCGTGACTATGGGTGCTGTAAAGTTCCCGAAATGTCGTGAATACAAAATAAATTGATGAAAATCCGTAAAATTACTAACAAAATTAGATTAATTCAATGTGTAAAGTTCACGTAAACATACGAAATTGTTATTCACCGCTTTATAACTGCCTCCGATTCCCTTTTAATGTTTGTTGTTAAATGACAAGAATATAATATATATATATATATATATATATATATATATATATATATATATATATATATCGTCTTATTATTTTAATGAAACGTTTAATATTATTAGGTGCCACCTGACCCCAGAGCTTTTGAAAAACCCCGACGAGCTTGCACCCCACAATCAAATAGCAGACCCCTGCCCGCCCCACCTCCCGAACCAGTACGGAATCCCACCGAAGAGAGACAGACACTAACCGAGACCAAACACGAAACACGACATGAAGCGAGATCAGTGCCCATTTCTGAAAACCGTCAGCTCGATTCTCGACCTCCTGAGAGGCAGAACGACCGAGATAGACCTACGCACGAAAACAGGCCAGAAAGACCCGTGCCTGTACCCGAAACGAGACATTTACCCAACGATAGATTAACAGATAGACAATCTGATCGACCGAACGAGAGAATCTCGGAGAATAGGCAAATGGAACGACACGTAACGGAAGTGAGGCAGCCCGAACGACATGTTATCGATCGGGACAGGCACGTGCCCATGAATGAAAGGCATATAGAATTTAGGCAGCCACCTGAAAGACCGCCGGATAAACCGGATAGACAGGAAAGGATACAGAATGCGGATAGAACTAGTTTTGATAATACTAGAATTGAAAGTAGAGCACCCCCAAGGCAAAGATCTCTGCCGTCTTCTACCAGTGTAAGTGTCGAACAACAGCCTACCAAATCGAAGACCATGCCAAAATTCCCTTCTGAAGACGTTAAAGACCCACCGTATGAAAACGTTAGCGTAGAGAAGAATGAGTTGGCCGTTGCGCGTAAGTGTTTAATGTTTTTTTCTTTCTAATATTTAGCCTTTAGTTTAGTGCTAGAGATTAGTAGTAGAGATGGGCACGAGCATCTTTCTGATTGATGATTCAAAATAAAAAAATACGGCAAATATTAGCTCCCTATAAAATACTACGAGGGAGGCCTATGTTCAGCAGTGAACCTTAGCAGGCTGTAGTGATAACGAAGACGATGATGAACTTTGGAAAAATGTATCTCTAGTTGTAATGATAGTAGGAATGAAAAAAGATGACCTTAAACTTAAACAAAGTTCTATATAACTTATGCCATATGCTTGTTTGCATCATCTTCTGTAAAAAAAAACTTTACAAGCATTTCAAGTAGGTTCTCAACATATCCTGCAGCCTTTGTGAGGCAATGTTTTGCATTTCAGTATTTCACATCACTTAATAGTTTCTGAAGTCGCTGTGAAATGTGTATCGAATCATTATAGACCCGAATTCAGAGACTGTTAAATTATGTGAAAATTATTTTATTCTTTGCAGTTTCTTAAAGTTGGTTTTAATTTTTTAAGCTTAATTTTTGGATCCTTTTGAAAGAACAAAGCAATGTTACAATTTCAGTGTAACGACTACTAGAATTTCATCTAAATAGTTATAACTCGCGGCACGTAACTCTAGCGCTGAACGAAACATGGAGGGGATAGCTGCGAATGTCGTTTCAGTACGGGGGACGGAATGCGACTGGAGAGCCAATCAACGCGCGCGAACGATGGAGAGCAAATCACACGTAATAATGCGCAATACGGTCACCGCTAGACTTTCGTTCCGCGAGTTGTACTTTAAATATTTCACCCTATGTTTTTATCTTGGAATCCTTGAATGGAATAAATTCCTTATATATTTTTTTAATAAAAAACGAATAATGCGTAACATATCGAAAAAAAACCAGTTGAATTAAGATCCTCCACCTTTTTTTATGGTGGTTATAAATGGGTGATACTTTCTGTTATACAAGCATGACATGGTAACTTTATTGATAAAGATTTAAGTTAATAGAATAAAGGTGATAAACGAGCACACAGTTCAACTGAAGGTAAGTAGATGCTGGGGCCCATAGACATCTATACATGTATCCGCAATTAGGAATCAAAATGCAGATGAGTTGTCATTTCTGAGGAATAAGATGGATTGCCTCGTTTCCAGTAAAAACGGTCTCTGCTTGTCTACACTCAACACACAAAACAGTAGCAATTAAGCTGGTATTTTACGATGGTATTTTGTGAGAGCGTGATCCTTACCCGGTAGAGCAAACCAAATCGTTATACAACCCTAATGCAGCTGCTGTGTGGCTCTACCACGTATAAAATATAAATGAAATAAGATAATGAAATATTTTTATTTTCTCAGCAAAGAAAATAAACCCGCTCACCCACGACAAACACGGAAGGAAGTACGGCGATAACGTATCCTACGAAAATATCAATTTGGACTACATTGCTCGATTAGTTGGTGAAGGTTACCCCAAGGACATAGTTGTTAGAGCATTAGGAATAACTAGGAACGACTTGGAGATGGCGTGTGATATATTACACGAATTCGGGTCGAAAGTTCAAAACAAATGTTAGCTTCTATATAATGATAATAAATAAACACCAAAACCATGATGTGAATGGGATGAAAGTCAAATAAAAGCAAATGTTAAAGATGTTAAAAAATTAATTAATTATGATCTATGAAGTTACTAGTTTAAAGAAAATAATTTTTTTTAACATCTTTGATATAATGTGTCTGATTCTATTAATTTTATAAAAGTAATTTCCATGCATAAATTTTATTAGCACGTGTTTCAGACCTGATAGTCAGACACTCTGTATAGTACATTATACAAAGTACTCTGTATGTTTACATTTTTGTCCTTGGATTGCACAGTTGTTTAACAAATTTGTATAAAATATTTTATAACAACTTATAATATCATACATTGCAATGATAAGGTCATATTATACACTATACCCGTTAACACTAACTTAAATATGCAATATAATTGTCAGGTGATAATAGCAGATTCATATCGATTTCTCACTATACTCCAATATTTTTAAAAGGTGTATTATTCTTACTATATATACATAAAGTAAAAGTAACGTTCAATGTAAATAACATGCGTAAAAATTTGCCACTGAAGTGGACGTATCACTACTTTAATAAAGTCAATGTTACATTTATAGTAATAGGTATCGATTTCCTCAAATTTCGAAATATATTATTGGTAATTAATAAAATTAAATTCCTCACACTTTAATTTGATCCTCAAGGACAATGTTTTATATATGTATAGATTATTTTTAAGGAAATAATTTTGACGCCATCAGACAATATCAACAAACTCTATACATAAAGCAATAACGATGACCGTTCCTATTCACGCTGCTACGTGCCTACAATTTATGTTTTTAAATGATGCCTGAAAAATTAAATCTATTACAATATTTGATATAATTGTACACACCATGTTAATATTTTATGATTTGTATACACGCTTATGAAATAGTAATGGATTATGAAGGTAATTTTTAATTATAAGTAGATAATAATAACGGGTACTGCTTCATACACGATACTCATTGTGACAAGTGAGAACTCAACAATAATTTAAATTTACTCTGTAATTAGGGATACCTCATAACATTGTAATATCCGTATTTTATAATATTCAATTTTCAATTACAGTGACTGTATAATAATGTAATGTAAATATTTCAATTAGATTTACTTTTTGCACAGATTATAAAATGCTTTAATGTCAATGTTGTCAAACTCGTTAATGCAATATTTTTTTAAAAAGTAGCACTTGTCATATGTTTTGTGTGATAGTATTATATAGGTTAAATATTAATTATTTTTTTTATTAACGAGGACATTTTAATGATGTATTTATTTCAATTTATTTCGTACTTTATGATATAAATAGTCTAATGAATACAATTACTTTTCCAGTGTTTATTTTATTGGTTTAATACTTCCTAATCAGTATTCTATTTTTACTCACTATTTTTTTAATTGCTTCAAATGCTTTGTAAATAGATACTTGTATATTAAATAATACTTATATTTTCTTATAAAATTACGCAGTTTTTAAAGTATGACCTAAAATTGGGGTAACATAGAATATATTTTTTCATATGTGTATGATACAAAATTTTGACACTGACTTATGACTTTTGCAATATTAATATTTAGCATAACTTTTTATTAATGTTGATGTAAATATTAATATTTTTTTCGGCTGCTTAACAATAATGTTCTTTGGCTTCGAATATTTGAAAAAAAAAATAGATAGAGTTAGCAAAATCCTTTCGTTATCAATTTTTTTTAATTTGAATTTTTCTTAATTGCTCACTTGTTAATATTTACTAAAATAAAATATTTTCTTTGTGCAATCAAAATCATTTACATTTTATTTCTTCCTTATTAAAAGCGCTTTCTTAAAATGAAATGACTGAATTCTTAGGTTAAAACGTGACGTCTAGTCTTAAAGTTTCTTGCTATTTGAAACATTGTTTTTTTCTGTAATATTTTTACCTATACATTTAAATACGAGGAGCACACTGAAATGATCGGGAATAAGAAAAACCACACGGTATAGCTCAATTGTATTTTATTGTTTTTCGAAGTATTCTCCGTTCAACTTAATGCACTTTTCCATTCGTGCAAACCAATGATTAAAACAGTAATTCCAGTCTAAAGTTGATGTTGACAAAATGGCTGATTTGTACGCTTCTACAGCGTTGACCGCGTAATAAATCTTTCATTCTAGGGAATGTAAAGAAATCGTTTGGGCTCAGTTCAGGACTGTACGGTGGATGGCTCATCAGCTCAACGTTTTCCTGCTTCAAAAATCATTTGTCTTCCGAGCTCGTATGGGAGCTCGCATTATCGTGATGAGATGTTTCGGGTAATTTTTTTGGAGTTCGGCTATCATTTCTGGCAAACAAACCGTGATATACCACTCAGCGGTAACCGTTCTGCGTTCCTGTAAAGGAATTGTAGCAACATGCCCTTTTTCGAGACAAACGTAGCGACCATTTTCTTTGACACGCTGCGGGAGCGAACCACTTTCGTTGGCTTGACCTCGTCTTCGAAGACCCAAACTGCTGACTGATGTTTTCTTTCAGGTTCGTATGAATAAATCCACGATTCGTCACCAGAGACGATCTTATAAACGGCATTTGACTTCCCTCCGTTGAAGCGTTGCAGAGTATTCCGGTACCAACTCTACACGAGCCGCCTTTTGCTCTTCGGACAAATTGTGGGGAACCCAGCGGGAAACTAGCTTTCTAACACACAGCTTATTATGTAATATCGACTGAATTGCAGTCATTCCGATACTGATGAACATAAACAGCCGGAATCTGCTCGTCACATGACGGTTATCTAATATAATAGTTCGCACAGCTGCGATATTTTCAGGCGTGACCGCTGTTCTTGGTCGACCTGCAGAAGAAACAGTACTGAGCGACACACGACCGCGTCGGAACTCGGCATACCAGTGGTTTATTGTAGTTTGACTCGGTGCTTCAACATCATAAATCGAAACAAGTTCGCTGAGACATTTATCTTGAGATAAGCCGCGACGAAAATAGTGATAAATTATGGCACGGAAATGTTCACGCGTGAGCTCCATTTCTGTTAACGATGTGTCAACTTTAAACCAACATAGTTTTTGTTTTTAAATGTTTTAATGTCATTAAGATTCTAAGAGGGTATTCAAATTCTAAAAAAGGATTTATTGTAACTCAATCCGAAATAATCTATTCCCGATCATTTCAGTGTGCCCCTCGTATCGTTATATATTTAACCAAGACAAACTATATTAAATACATATCCACCAGATTACTAGTCAAAGTAACGCTTTATAAGTTCATGGTTAAAGACCTATATTCCTTAGGCGATGTACACACTAAGCGGATCTATGATTTAATTTTGTATTCATACGAACGGTGTTTGTTTCATGGTTGAATCGCGACACATTGAGATTGTTTTTCATATACCTTAATTATTATAAGGATGGTGGCTATAATCACTACGTTTTGCGGTCCAGTTATCAGTGTATTGTTTACGTATTTCATGTTGATACCCATTACCTGAACTTAGTATTTACTATTCAGGTAATGGATTTCATGACTTATATTTTTTTTTGCGCGGAACCCTATTTATTTTTCGAAGTAATTCTTTTTAGAAGTAGCCTAATTTTCTCCTTATAAAATCAGCTATCTGCCAGTGAAAGTCTCCTCAAAATGAGTCCAGCCATTTCGAAGATTAGCCGGAACAAACGGATAGATAGACAAAAATTTTAAAAATTGTTTTTTTTTTTTTTGTTATAAGTACCACACACACACACACATTCATACGCATTTAGTAAAAAGCTGTTATTTTGACATTACAAACCGATACTTAAATTTTATGTATTTGTACATATAGCGAAAGTTTCAGAGCTATTGTTGCTTATGAGCTAAAGGCACTCATCTTATTACATAGCACGCGGGCAACCATAGAATAATATATACTACATACATAATAGAACGTGGGAGTGGGCGGAGCCCGTGTAACTAATAATATGTCACTAACACGTCAATTCGCACGTATAAATGTCAACACAATCAATCGTTTCCAATTTTCGTGACAAGCGTCGCTGCATGCAAATTGTAAATTGTGCATATTGTGTGTAACAATGGTAAATTGTGCAATAATTACGTGTCGAAAGAACACCGGCAAATGGAATTTAAATAAAGGAGACATATTCTACTACCAGTAAATCGAACCTATTTATATTTTGTGAATATTAGAAACAAAAACAAACAAACATTTATGTGTCAAAAACATTAATTCTAAAAGTCTAAAATGTGTTTGTAGTAGTGATAACTGATAATACGACGTAATTGCTTGTATGTGTGCTCCCGGCGACGCCAATCCTCCTACAAAGTAAAGTTGACAGCCATTCTATTGTGTATTAGAGTATACTATGCGGGTAACCCAAGTTTGAAGGTCGTCGGTACGATTGTACTTCTCAGTTAAGAGGATTGTGAAGCTATAAGTTTTGGTACAAACGCGATAACGATTTTCCTCCTGTAGACATGGTCTATTTTCATAATTTTTGGAAATTTTGTACATGTAATGAAAACCTAGGTCCATAGGTACGTTTTTATTTTAAAGATATATTGCGTACGATATAAGCTAATATCATCTAAACGTCTATATTTTTGACTTAAAACTTGCTCGAGTGTTGTTTTAAATAATTAAACTAAATTGAATTACTAAAAAAGTAAAACGTACAGACATAGATTAAGGTGTACTGAATTTAATGATATCAAAATTGTTTCGTTTCGTAAAGGTTTAGGAGGGTAAAAGCGTTATCGCCCGAAACAATATTTCAAAAAGGAAATGTAGGCAATTGTCTCCAAGATTTGCAACTCTCTCTATCGCACGAGGAGGGAAGCGGAGCAAGCGGTATGTAACAGATAGCATTTTTGAAAATACCCACCCGTGCCGAGTGTCGGCATTTCACAATCCTCTTAAAGAGGGGGACTGACCTGACATAGAAATATCAAAAGATATTTCAAAAATG